TTTTTTTTTTTTTTTTTTTTTTTTTTTTTGGCACCAGGGATCAAACTCAGGTCCTTGCGCTTGCCAGGCAGGCGGCGGAACCTCTGAGCTAAATCCCCGGCCTGGTTGTTACCCATTTTGGAGCCCATTTACTACCCATGACACCTTTACTAGAATGTGGGAAAGAGAATATAAACTTAAATTAGTTCCATTTTCTTCCTTGTTACTGCTGTTTATTTAAAAAAAAACTAAACAAGTAATGTACTTGATAAAGAGCAAGTTGAATTTACTGGATATGTGGTCTTTTTCTTGCTATGGCAAGCAGGAGCTAAAAGGTAGGGCAAAACTGTTTTTGGAGATGAATATATGATTGACACAGGATTACAGGCACAGCAGGGAGGTGATGTACTTAGTGCAGAGTATCCGTTTTCAGCTCTTGTTTCTGATTAGGCAGGGTGGATAGTCTCACTAGATGCTGTGGTTAAAAGAGTTATGAGGAGCTGTGAGGCTGGCTCAGATGTGCAGCATTTTCCTAGCAAGTGTGAGTGCTTAGGTTTGACATCCAGCACCACCAAAAGAAAAAAACGAAAAGCAACAACAACAAAACCAAAGTTCAACAGTTTCCTGTTTGCTTTCAGGTACCCCTATCCAGAATTCTTTAAAGGATTTGTGGTCTCTTCTTTCCTTTTTAAAACTAAAACCATTTCTTGATAGAGAATGGTGGCATAGAACAATACAGCGTCCCGTTACAATGGGAGATGAAGCAGGACTCAGGCAAGTAATTTCACGACAGCTGATTTATTATCTCAATTAGTGGACTGGTTACTCTTGTTCCTATTTATACTTAATTCTTGATTTTAGTCCCCTAAAAGTGAGCATGTTTTAGGTACTTTGATTCTCAAAACCCTGCAGCTCTTCCTTAGAGAGATAAAGATTTCTAATTTCAGTGGTACCTTGGTTTACAAACTTAATTCTTCTTCAAGATTCTGGAAAAGATGGCCACATTTGTGTTCATGAGGGAAAGAGCCACAGTCGTTTTTGTCACCTGATGCAGAGTTTACAAACAAAAACATTTTGCAAAATGCTTCTGTTTACAAACCAAATTGTTTGCACACCAAAGCATGAACCAAGGTACCACTGTACCAGTGACTGCCCTTCCTTATTATGTATAGCCAAATTGAAAGGAAAGGCTTAGCTTTATGATCTTTGTTTGTTGCTGTTATCCCCAAAACCATCATTAACAAATTTAGCAGTGATAGGAAAAGCTATGTCTTTTGAAGATGAACATTTAATGCATATGGCTAAGCTCCTACATGTCTTTATATAGTAGTGATTAAGTGATATCCAGTGCTCTTAATGAAGTTTTGTGGGAGTTTCATATGGCTGTTTTTTGTGGGCACAGATGAGAACATAAATGAAAACTCAGTCTGGTGTACTCTGCGAAGATGGTTCAGGATTTTTGTGTAAAGCAATGATTTTTAAACAGGATTTGAGAGCTATTAGCGGGTTATAAAATCATTATAAAGGTGGTAGTCAGAGTTAAAAAAAAGGGACAAGTGTAGATAAAAACATTTCAGTGTGTCATATATATATTGTTTTGTGAAATGTTTTTGTGTGTGTTCACTGTATGGAGTAAAATGTGTTCACATGACAGTGAAAAAAGATTCAAAAGCCACTATTCTATTTGGCAAAACTATCCACACGACTACTTGGAACTAAACTCCAAATTAAGAAACTGATTTGCACTATTAGGGAAAACAGTTTAAGGAAATAATATGCTGTCTTTTTTCCTGATTTTGAGAGGGAAATTTAAAAATTATCACTGAGAAGGCGTTTCTCAGACTTCTGAATTCTCATGTTTTTATCTGAGGGTCACTCATTGCTTTTTAAAAATTTGATTTTCATATTGCATGTTTCATTTTCATATTATAGAAGATGGGATTTTTTTGTACTTACAAAGAGAAAAGACTTATTTTGACTCACATAAGGTAGGGTCTTTCTCATGTTTATATTCTTATTTAGTCAAGTGCTTTCACTTAATTGCTACTTGGTTAGAATTTGAGTGTTGACTGTTGAGTGATGTAGTTGACAAGACAGTGGAGAAATTAAAGGTTCACAACTAGAATAAAAATGGAAGAGTGTAAGAAAAAGACAAGATATAAGAAGATTAAACAATGATGATAGGTGTGGTATTGAAGGGAAATTTCAGTACATTTGCTGCCTGTAACAATTTTCCGTTTGTAGAATATTTCTAATTATTAGATTGGATAAATAAGGCACTTTTAAAGAGAACCTTTAAGATTATAAAAATTATTTGCTTTATTTTTGATTAGGCGTTTACAGTCCCTAATTAAAAACATCACACTTCGACGAACTAAGACAAGCAAAATTAAAGGAAAACCTGTTTTGGAACTACCAGAACGTAAAGTATTCATTCAACACATTACACTTTCAGATGAAGAGAGAAAGATTTATCAGTCTGTGAAAAATGAAGGCAAAGCTACTATTGGAAGGTATGGAGAAAGGAAACCATGTTATAAGTCCTTGTTTTATTTCTTTGTTTCTCATTAACTGAATTGCATTGTTTTAGACTTGTTATTAGCAATGAAAGTCTCATTTATTTAAAATTTTTAACAAATTAATAATTGAAGTAAGTGAAACAATAGTATAATTCACCAGGTAAGTAATTCCTTAAGTCTAGAAAAAAAAAAGTTAACATAAAATAGTCAATTATGAATTGTTAGTCACAAGACCTTGCTTCATTCTGTTTCTGACCTTGTATCATAGGAATAGATAAAAACATTTGGAGTGTTTACATACGTGTGTGTGTGTGTGTGTGTGTGTGTGTGTGTGTGAGAGAGAGAGAGTAAAAAACCTAGTAAGATTCCCATCTTTGAGGGGAGTGCATGATTCACAAATAAGATAAAAAGTTATTTTAGATTTATCCAAAAGAAAGTAAAGAATACAGTTACAGAATCAGAAGAAAAGAATGGTCAGACTGTGTAGTATCACATAAGCATAGAGACTCAGAGAAGGCTGTTTAATTTTGTCATTCAAGAGTTGGCATAAACTCTCAGAATGAGATATGTCACTAAATTGTCAGAGTGGGCTACGGAGTAGTGACTGTAGAGATGGATCATTTTTTCACTAAGTTTGTTTGGTATAATGAGTTTCTTGAAGTGCTTTATGTCATGAAAATACTTTATTCATTAATTTTGAAAGGAAGTTTTGTAGGGTATATAAATCTGGATTGGGAGTTCTTATCTGATAGGGCTTCAAACATTTCATTTCAAGCTCTCGTGGCCTTTAATAATATTTGTGTTGAAGAGTCTTTTATAATTCTAATAGGTTTACCTTCATAAGTGATTGATTCATTGCTTTTCTCTAACAGCTTTTAAGATTCTTTTCCTGTGTTGGACTTGTGGCTACAATTTTGCCTATAATATGATGTGGTGAGGTTCTCTTGATTGGGGCAATTTAGATTCTGTATGTTTAATTCTTTCCCTTTTTTTGGAAAGTTTTCTATTGTTATTTCTGTAAACAGGTTTTCTATGCTCTTGGTGCAGTCTTCCCATTTTTCATTTACTCCATTTAATGTTAGATTAGACTTTTTGCAGTGTCTAGTAGTTATTGGATCCCTTTTTCATGTTGTCTCATTTTTAAGGTATCTCTGAGAAATTGGACTTTGAAAGCATGTCTGTCTTGTAATTCTGATGTTTTGCTGCCCATAGGTTCAGTATACATTAATATCTCGGTTCCTAAATACTTCTCTTAGTGAACAGTTTAGTTTGCAAACAGAAGCATTTGGCAAAATTTTTCTTCCTTTCACAAACTCTGCATTGGGTGATAAGCACAAACACAACCATCTTCCCCAGAATCATGAAACAAATTAAGTTCATGAACCAAGGTGCCGCTATAATTTTTAATCTCTCAATTTCTTTTTGGAATCTTTTCAGAGACTATAAGCTGCTCATTCATGTTTAAGATGGTTTAGTTTAGCTCAGCTAGCTTTTGATTAGTATATTTTATAAGTTCCCTGATGGCTTTATCTGTTTAATTATATCTTCTGTGAGTCTGTCATGCATCTTATTGATCTGTTTTTTAATCTCCTCTGTTATCTGCTGTTTGTTTGATGGATTTTTATGGTTAGGTTTTCAGGCACTTCTAGCCTTGACCAAGATTTTGTTGCTAGTATGGAGATCTCTTGTCAGTCTGCTTTTCAGTGATGCACTCTGAGTATGGCTAATGATAGTCCTTTGCCTCTGTCTCAGCATCAGATCACCTATTAGTTTGGGAGGGAAGGATGCCATGTAATTGTCCCAGGACCTGGTTTTCCAGGAGTGGACTGCAGTATTGTTAGTACCAGAAGGGTAATCTGATATTGGCATACAGATAAAACCTATTAATAGCAAAAATTATGGAACCCTGACAGTACCAAGTATATCAGCAACAGTAATATGATCCAAGACAAACTGGATATTAATATGCCGTAAGTACCAATAATTTACCCCCCTTATTAACCTTAAGAAATAAATGCATAATTATAGAATAAACACTAAGACAAAGCAAATGTTGACACATAGCAAATAGCTACTAACTCGGACAACTATATCTTCAGTAATAATGAAAAGAAATTCAACAGTAATAGTGTAGAGTTAATGATTTAAATATTAATAAAATTTAGTTGTAATACTGTTATAGGGCAGAGATGGTGAAATGATTAGAGCTTTAGTGATACAGACAGGCCACTGTGGCATGCATGCTGTGAGTTTGCCATCACTGATACAGGAGGTTGGGATTGAGAGCATGCAAGAAGGATTATCTTTAAATTTAAATCATGGGAGATGAGAAAGAGGAGAAAAAAGTGACACAGTGGGTCTTATTAAGGAGCAGAAGGATATTTATAGAATTAGATAAAGGTAACAAAAAATGAGAAATAGAAGATAAAAGGGAAACAAGGGAGAAAAAATAATACAGAGAATAGAAAAAGAAAAAATTAAACAGAAAAAAATGGAAAAAGAATAAAAGACAGGGACAGGCAGATGGACCAACTGACTGAAGGGACAGCAGGCAGCAAGATGGTACTGACTTGGGGCACCAGGAGGAAAGTCTTTTACTACTACAGTGGGGATGTTGGAAGTTACTGTTATGGACAGGGCCACCCAGTGAAGCTTCACTGAATCCACATTACTCACAATTTGCTGTTCAGCTGTGGTCTCTACTGCAAGATGGAAATCTATCACCTTCACAAAGCCAGCGCTGAGAAGATGACCAAGTACCACAGTGATAACTACACTAAATTCCTACAGTGTCTCCATCTAGATATCATGTCTGAGTACAGCAAGCACATGCAGAAATTCAGAGTTGGTGAGGACTTCCAATATTTGAACGCCTGTTTGAGTTCTGTCAGTTGTCTACTGGTGGCTCTTTGGCAAGGGCTGTGAAATTTAATAAGCAGCAGATGGACATCACTGTGATTGGCCCAGGGGCCTACATCATATTCAAAAAAGTCTGAGACATCTGGCTTCTGTTACATCACTGATACTGTCTTGGCCATCCTGGAACTGCTAAAGTATCACCGGAGTGCTGTATATTGATATTGATACTGACCATGGTGATGGCATGGAAGAGGCCTTCAGTACCACACACCAAATCATAACTGTGTCCTTTCATAATTATGGAGAGTACTCCCAGGAACTGGGGACCTAGGGGGTATTGGGGCTGGCAAATGCAAGTCTTATGCTGTTAACTACCCAATCTGAGCTAGGAATAATGATGGGTCCTTTGAGGCCATCTTCAAGCTGGTCATATCCAAAGTAATGGAGATGTTCCAGCCTAATGTTGGTCTTACAGTGTGGCTAGACTCCTCCTCTGGGGATCAGAGGAGTTCTGGGTTGCTTCAATCTAACCATCAAAGGGCATGCCAAGTGTGTGGAATTTGTCCCAAGCTTCAACCTGCCCGTGCTGGTGCTGGGAGGAGGTGGTTATACCATTTGTGATGTTGCCCAGTGCGGGAGATGCAAAACAGCCTTGGCTCTAGACACAGAGATCCCTAAGGAACTCCCATACAGTGACTCCTTTGAAAACTTTGAACCAGATTTCAAGCATTGCATTAGTCCTTCCAATATGACTAGAACACGAATGAGTACCTGGAGAAGAGCAAACAGCTCTTTGAGAACCTGAGGTTGCTGCCCCATCCGCCTGGGGCCCAAATGCAGGCAGTTCCTAGGGTTGCCATCCCCGAGGAGAGTGGTGATGAGGGCAAAGAAGACCCTGGCAAGTGCATCTCAGTCTGTTCCTCTGGGAAACAAATCGCCTCTGAGGAAGAGTTCTCTAACTCAGATTAGGAGGGAGAGGTGGCTGCAAGAAGTCTTCTAACATCAGGAAAGCCAAGGGAGTCAAACAGGATGAGAAAGAGACCTAAAAAAGAAAAAAGATCACAGAAGAGGAGAAAAATGAGAAACCAGAAGCCAAAGGGGTCAAAGAGGAGGTCAGGTTTGCCTAAGCGGACCTCTCCAGCTTGGGCTTCTTGCCAAGTTTGTCCCTCTAACTCCTCAGATTTTACACTTTCTATCTCTGCATATGTATATAAAATATAGTAAGCATAATATAGTTAATAATATCGATATTGTAAAGTATACTACTTTATAATATTATATAAAATAAATGTAATAAATATAAATGTCCCTAGGGACTAGATAGGAACGAACCAAGCCCCTCGAATGCAGGGCAGCTTTTCTGTGGGAACTCTTCTAGCAACTGCCTTGCTCTTCATCCCTCCCAGAGTCTTAGTTTTAGACCATAAGGGGTACAGATCTGGATGGAAGTCATACAGCTGTAATATGAAATCCTGACATGCTGAGGGCCTGCCTAGTAGCTTTGGAAGTGTGCCCCTGTTATATGTTTTGGACAGGATGGCTGTCTTCATGGCTGTCTATTCTTTGGGCTCCTAAGGGAACATCAGCCATTTTTAGATTGGTTCTGTTTTCATACCTTCACACTGGCCCCAAGTGATCTAAGAAACCTTACATTGCCCTCTGTCTTCCCCAGTTCTGCAAGTCGAGGTTGGTAACTTTCTTTTTTTGAGATGCTATTTTCATTTTTGTGAGATTCTTTGTAATAAAATGGTACATTTCTTAAAAGAAAAAGAAGAAAGGAGAAAGGATGAAGAAAAATTCCTTAGACCTCAATAAACCAGCGAAGAAGAAAGAGGGAAAGGGAAAAAAAGACTCAAGAAAGTCCAGAAACAAACAAAAACATTCTCTGTATTTTTGAATGAGGGATTTCCTTTCAGGATCTGCAGTTTTTTAGCATAGCAAGTGTCAGTTTTCTCTGCTAGCCTTCCGGCTAGGATTTATGAGGTTATGAGGTGGGTTTGTGAGGTGCCCACCTAGTCTAGTGCCCTCTGTTTAGCCCAGGCTGTGGCAGTGTCCACACTGAGACATGTCCTTGCTCACGGTGGTAGACAGGGAAGGCAGTCAGACCTCAGATCTGTGCTGGATTTAACCAGCAGGGCAAGAGTTCAAGTAATTAATGCCGGTGCTATCAGACCCAACCATTTCTGAATGCACCTCAACCCAGGCCTGGCTTCTCACTGAGGGCACTGAGGCCCGTGTCCTTCCTTGCTTGAACTTAAAACTTCTCAGGTGATCTCTTTGTAGCCTGCTTCTTGTCTATGGCTGTCTCTCACCCAGTGAATATGGAAATGTGACACTGGGAGCCCTGAATTGAAGTTATTTTTTAGTTGTTCTGAGTCCTAGGTTGTATTGGAAGCTGATCAGACCTCCAGTCATCTGACCAAGGGGTACAGCAGCAGCATAATAAAAGACAAGACAAGGTCTTTATTGCATGAATGGGGGCTCAGGATGGTCAGAGCTCTTACCAGGCCCAGACACTGTCTCCTGGAGCTCGCTACTATTTATTGAACACACAGCTGCTTGAAGGGGCGAGGGGCAGTGCAGGGAGCAGGGCAGTGGAGAGCACTGACGTGAGCAGGGTCCTAGCAGCAAGGGAATAAGACATTCTGGTAGGAACAGATCATTGATTAATGGGAGATTTGTTTTTTTCCCATAGATTAATTTCTGCCTACATAGAAGTTTTGTACACAAGTCATGTGTACAATAGCTGTGCTATTGTCTTGCCATCTAAGACCTCACAGCATCACGGATCATTGAGTCCTCCCCTGTAACCAGTGGCGTGGGGAGTTGTTTCCTTCCAACTGCTAGCTCTTCAGGCAAGCAAGCCATTGTGGGCTAATAGGCAGACTAAGACTTTTAATATGAAAAGCTCGCTCAGGGTGGTCTCCATCGAGACTGAAATAATCTCTTCCCAGAATGGCACCTAATTAAAAAGCTCACTCTGGTGATACAGCAGTGCCTTCTCTGGAATCCCTCTCAGGCTGTTGCACATCGTGTGGAAGGTGTCCTTTGAGAGCAAAAAGTCCTATGCTGCTTTAGCAGTTTATAACAGTTGTGGGCTTTTCATGAGGTCCATGCCACCATTTCTCCCTGGATCTCCCAGCCCTAGGCACTTATCTTTCTTCTAGAGAGCCAAGTTCTCCTCCCCATAAATTGTGAGCTGGGGAGAAAGTCCAGATGGTTTTACTAACCATTTCGGCATTGTCCATTTCACCCCGCCCCACTGTCTGTTGTTATTTGGAAAGCAGGATTTTGCTACCAGTCATCACTGCACTATTTTCTCCTGTCTCTCTCTAGGTATTTCTTTTTTTTAATTATCATTAAAACAACCGCAATGTATTCTCTCACAGGGAGACCAGAAGTCCAAAATTAATTTCATTGGGTCCAGCAGGGCTTTATAACCTCCGGAGAGTTTAGAAGCGAACTCTCCCTTTAGTATTCCAATTTCTGGTGGCTGCTTTGCTTACTTGGTTTATGGCCATTACTCCAATTGCTAAGGCCAGCTTCTCAATGTCTCCCTGCTCTTTTTTCGTGTCACCTTCTATTCTGCCTTAATCTATTTGGGTTGCTATAACAAAGTATTATAGTTTAGGTGATTTATAAGCAACAATTTATTTTATAAAGCTCTAGTAGCTGGGAAGTCTAAGGTCAAGATGCTGACAGATTTGGCATCTGGTAAAGATCTGCTTTTAGGTTGCAAACTGATGACTTCTTGTTGTATGATGAAGAGGTAAGATGCCTCTCTGGAGCCTCTTTTATAAGTGCGTTAATCTCATTCATGAGGGCTTGGATATGGATAGTGTATTCCCTTAGGCTTCATATGTTGAAGCTTGGGGCTCAGTGTGGCAGTATGAGAGGTGGCAGAACCTTTACAAAGAGGGGCTTTGCAGAGAGATAATTTGGTAATTATGGATATTGCCCTCCAAAAGGGTTAATGCTTCTCTCTTGGGGTTACTTAGTTCCCACAAGAATGGGTTGTTATAAAAAGAGCAAGGCTACACATGAAGCTCTGGTTTCCTGTTTGGCTTGTTTTGATTTCCTCTCTAGGCCACCTTCCTACAATGATGCTATATCTATCATTTATGATGCAGCCAGGTGGGTCCCCATCAGCAACCAAATAGGGCTTCCTATTGAACTTTTTAGTTTGTGACTTAAGTAAACCTCTTTGCTGTACAATTACCCAGCTTTTGGGTATTTTGTTAATGTACTAGAGGTCTCTTACTTTCTGATCTAATTGTTACTCTCAAAGGCCATATCCACCACATTAGTGATGAAGTTTCTGGCATATGAATTGGGAGGGTTATGTAAACATTCAGACCATAGCATTCTTGTTGTGTTTCAAATTTCTCCCCATTTCCCCCTTCTAGGAAGGCATCTGATGTATTTAATGTCTCACTTTGATAATCCTGGGTAATCTCTTTACTCTAAGATCCTTAATCACTTCTGCAAAGACCTTTTTTCCTTATAAGGTAGCATTTATTGTTTCTATGGATTAGGACCTAGTATTTGACGGAGGGGTGTGGTGCATTTTGCAGATGCTAAAGAATACTGGAAAGTATAAATTTAATGTAGTATGTGAGCATAGCCTCCCAACCTACAAAGAGACAACGGTGGAACTGGACAGAAGGCACATATATGGTAATCCCCTTTCTGCTACCGCAAGCACGTGTGACTTGGGACAAATTACATGTCAGGCCAAATCCTCACTTTCACTATCTCTCTATTAGAGTGATTTGACATGTATTTGGGGGTATAGGGAGGACTTCAGTGTTGTGCCTGGCCTATGGGAGATCCTTAATAAAAATTAGTTTTCCTTAGTAACAATGTCATGTTACAGAAGGAATTCTTGTTGAAGACTCAAGAAAATTTGGTTCTACTCCTTGCCAGTTCATTAGCTTGCATCATTTTGAGCAAATCACATCTTATTTGCTTTTGTGAAGTATAGAACGGGTGAACCTGAAAAGTCTCCATGGGAATAATTTTAGGGAGTGGGTACATGTACTTAAATCTTGATTCTTTTTATTCCCCTTCCTCTCCTCACTTAATCTCCCTCCCTCCCTCCCTGCTTCTTTAGATCCCTCTTTCCCATCATCATCCTCCTCATCCTCATCCTCATCATATTTGGGATCTATAAAGATTGCCTTCATTGGTAGTAGTTGGTACATGTACATGACACATCTTAAATTTTTTACCCTCCTCCTAGGTATTTTAATGAAGGAACTGTCCTTGCACACTATGCTGATGTCCTGGGTCTTCTGCTGAGATTACGGCAGATTTGTTGTCATACTCACCTTCTTACAAATGCAGTGTCATCCAGTGGTCCCTCAGGTAAAGAAATGCGATTGGTTCATACTATTACATTTTTTTAGAGATATTTATATCTGAATGAGATATTTCTGTGGAGTCTAAATTTGATTTGTGATTTTGTTCTGTGAAATAGACAGTAATGTTTTAGTGAAAGAACTGAAATAGTAAATATATACAAACAATTTTTCCCCGTGAAATAGAATTCTGAGTTCTTATCAGGATTTTCAGTGATATATACGCTTAGATGAAAGTTTCACTTTGGATCCGCCTTTTCTTCTGTGCCAGTGTGGGCAGACCATATTATAATGACGCCTCTATACATTATGTAAGTTGGCTATGGTCTTCTGAATTTTTCTTAAAATTTCAAATTTAAGCTATGTTATGATAGAAAAAGATGAAAGACTATCTATACGGTACTGACAAGCAGAACATGTCCTTATGTGAAATAGATTAACTTGTCTAGTCACATTGCAAATCTTGCTCTGAAATTAATTTTCCAGTCTTTTCTCTAGGAAATGATACACCTGAAGAACTGAGAAAGACATTAATAAAGAAGATGAAATTGATTCTGAGCTCTGGTTCAGATGAAGAATGTGCAATTTGCCTGGATTCTTTAACAGTTCCTGTGATAACACATTGTGCACATGTGTTTTGTAAACCTTGTATTTGCCAAGTCATTCAGAATGAGCAGGTTAGCTTTTTGCTTAGTATAGGCTTGGTATTTGGCGGAAGCATCTTTCTTTAGTATAAATAAAAATGCAAGTCTAAGAAGTATTAGTTTAAGTCTTGGATTTGATAATGACCTTTTGTGGTTAATCCAATAATAGGTGATATGTCTCGTAAGTTCTTTTAACATAGAAAGTGATTATTTTGGAGGCATTTTCTTACAGTCAGTAATACTAGTTTAACTGTGTAGATCATTGCTGTCTAATGCGTACAATAGAATAATTAGGAGACAAAAGTAAAGTTTTCTAATAGCCATGTTTTTACAAAGTACAAAGAAACATGAAATTAATTTTTATCATACATTTTAATTTAGGCCAGTATGTCTAAAAGTATTAATGTAATATGTTACACTTTCTAAATTATTTTTAAAATAAGTCTTCAAAATCTGGTAGTATTGTATTCTTGACTTGGCCACACTTCAAAGACTTGACACATGGCTATTTGCTGTTATATTGGATAAAGTAGGTCTGGATTCTTTTATGTGTAAAATATTTTGAAGTTTAAGCAGTCTTCAGTTAGTGCAAAAACTTTTTTTTTAGTATCTTAATCTGATACTCGTAGAAAATGCAGATTATAATTGTACTGTTTACTGAATTATCATAATGTGAACATGTAAGCTATTCAAGTCTCCTTTCATCTTTTTCTAATTATTAACCCTCTCCCAATAAGTAACTCCATTGTACTAATTGTAACATAGTTTTAGTTTTGGAATATTTTTTATTGTAATGATGTTTGGTATCCAGTTATTTAAGATGTAATTTCATTTTACTAGTAGGTTCAATAGATATTGCTTTGAATGAACCTAATAGGATTTAGCCAGATCTGATAGCTTTATAAGCAGAAATAAGCTTTGCTTAACAAGTCATTGAGAAGAATATTTTTTCTGAAGAACAATTCCGTGTAGTGTGCTGTATTTCTTTTATTCTGAGTAAGTATAGCTCATACTTTGTTTTTTTAATACAGCCACATGCTAAATGCCCTTTATGCAGAAATGATATTCATGGAGACAATTTACTAGAATGTCCTCCAGAAGAACTGACATGTGACAGTGAAAAAAAGTCTAATATGGAATGGACATCCAGTTCAAAGGTAATGTACATTTGAAAACATTCGCATTTTGGCTTCATATTTATATAAGGAAATATACACCATGTAACAAAATAGTAATTCTCCTTTTAATCTCATCATTTGAAAATAATTTTGGTGGCTATTGGCTGTTTAAGTGGTAAATTTGGAATCACAAAGGGATTCAGATTATTGCCTATTCTTTCATTGTTTGTATTTATTAAATTAGTGTTTCACTTCTGCCTTTTAGTTAAGGAATGTGGCAGGACCTTTCTGTTAAAAACTTGGGGATTTGATCAGTTATGTCAAATGCTGCAGTTTATATCTCAGCAAGGATGTATAGAGATACTGCGATAAACCACATTAATATGTACAATTACTACATGTTAATTTGATACATTTTAAAAATGACAAATTGTATTTATTTTCCCAGTTGAAAAATGGAATCTAATGAGTATCTTATTTTTTTCAGATTAATGCTTTAATGCATGCTTTGATTGATTTAAGAAAGAAGAATCCCAACATAAAGAGTTTAGTTGTTTCTCAGTTTACAGCATTCCTGTCTTTAATAGAAACACCACTTAAGTGAGTTCAATGATGATTTTCACTCTGAGTAAAGGTTTTTATATATGTGTATTGCTTTTTTTATACCAGAAAAACCTGTTTTACCAATTTCAGTCATTTCATCCATCTAAAATGATTTTCAGAGTTGGAGAATATTTCCTGGCAGCATAGAACTTTAAAGATAAGCCCTGAATTTATTAGAAAAAAGTGGACTGCAGTGGCTGGTATATTAGCTCTCAATAAATATTTGTTAAATTATTGAAGTCTGGGGGTGTAGCTCAGACTTGTACAGTACGTGAAGGGCCTGGAAGTCAGTCCCTAGAACCATAAAGATAAGTAAATTAGTGAAAATTCATTGAACTAAGATTCCTATTTGCCACTTTTTTGTACTATAGTAAATGTTACTCATCTCTTTCTTATTAGAGCCTCTGGATTTGTGTTTACTCGTCTGGATGGTTCCATGGCCCAGAAAAAGAGAGTGGAATCCATTCAGGGTTTTCAAAGCACTGAAGCAGGATCTCCAACTATAATGCTGCTGTCCTTAAAGGCAGGTGGAGTCGGTTTGAATCTTTGTGCAGCTTCTCGAGTGTTTTTAATGGATCCAGTAAGTAATTTTGTAAACTTTTCAAAATGTTACTACTTCATCCAAAAAGTAGAAGACAAAAACTTATTTGGTAAATAGCTTCATAGTTATAATTGTAAAAATTCTTAAGCAAACTTTTGAAATGGATATATTGAGGACTTGCTCTTAAGGGTTTTACATATGTCACTTGAAATCCTTACAGAATTTTTGTGAAGGATATAACACGATTGTCTCTGTTTTACAGATGAGGAAAAACTAAAGCACAGAAAAGTAAATAATTTGCCCAACATTACACACCTCATAATAGCAAAACCAGGCTGAAGTATCTGTTCTTATGTACGATTATGCTATGCTGTTTTGCTTCTCTTCTGTACACAGAATAAATCTCTACTAACTGTAATCCTTTAAGATAATGGTTCATTCACCCAACAGATAACAAGAGATCCTGCTTTATCAGGATGTGGTACAGGCATTGGGAAACTGACTATGAATAAGGTAGACCAGATGGCTACATTCATGGTCCTAGTGGTCTCAAGCTTTAATGTGCCTAAGAATTAAGTCAAATGAAAGTTTAAACCTCTCTCCTCAGAGATTTAGAATTCTTAGATGAGTCCTAGGAAGATACATTTTAAATATTTCATATAGGTATGTACATGTAGGTATATATATTACCTGTGTATAAAAGTTATTACAGGTAGTTCAAATCCAAGACCACAGTTTGAGACACTACCATTAATGGAAAGTTCTGCATAAATTTCAGGGCCTAATACAGTGCAGTTACTTGTGGTTGTGCAATACAAGCCTAGAGGTAGAATGGAAACTAAAATTTACTCAACTTTACTCAGCCAGGAGTGTTACCTGAATTTGCATCCTTATAGGAGCATGTTTTTCTGGACTCATAATGGGGCTGTTTGAGCTGTAAAGATTCTGAACTAATTTAATTTCTAATATATACTGAGTACACTTTGGGCTGGAGGCAATCCTGTGCTATTGCTGTTATTCACAGATTTAAGATTTGTGATGTTAGCTTGTTGCTTGAAACTCAGAAGATTCATAAGGTGGAAGTTTCTCCTTCTCTGCCGAGGTAACCTTCTTGGTATGATTAAAATCAGAGTCATAGTTAAGTTTTCGTGGTTGCTTGTCATGGATGGCAACAATCTGTATTTGCCTTATTGCTGTGGATGAAGTTTTAAATCTTTGTTAGTTTTTTGGTTATTATTTTTTAAAACTATTTAATTGTACACTGTTCTTATTAACCCAGTAAGTTGACTTTTAGAACAAATTCCCAAATTACTACTCTTTCTCTTTCTGATAATCTCAGTACTAGAGAAAGAAGAGGATGATCTATATATCAAAATACAATAATGAGTTGAGCAGAGACTTAACTATTTATCAGTTTAGGTATGCAAAACACTGTCAAAATGTTTTAGCAGTTTTATAGTTGTCTCGTTGAACATATAAAGCTTTACAGTGTTGTTTTTAACTCCAAAAATCAGAAAAAAATTACTAATGAAAATTTTTTACCTTTTCCTGGAGCACTATTTAAGAGTTAGGGCAGTATTTTGAGGTCTGCTATGAGTTTCTGATGAACCTAGTTGCTTCCTTAATCACTAACATGTGAGAATGGAAACTGACTTTTATGCTATCTTGAGATAAATTGGCTTTCTGGTAGTCATACTAGACATATATTGTCAGATGATTAGATAGCTGGATAAAATACAGGCAACAGGACAAATATTTGACTTGGCCTCTTAGTGTAACAATTTAAATTGTCTCTGTAAAATACAAAATATTCACAATATACTTGTTAGTTTTAAAAATCACAAAATATATCATTCAATTTAACTTCCATACTGGAAAGAAACCCAAAATTCAAATCACAAGTTAATAGCAAAACCGTCTCTTTCTAGACCCAAAGGAACTTAAAATAGAAAATATTAACAGTTAATCTGAGTAAGAATTGTATTGAAACCCATCATCTACATATGCATCTCTTCGTGTTTTCAGTTGGTATTTTGTCATGTAATTGTACCTTTTCCCAAAAATACTCTTATTTTCAGCTTCAAGAATTATCCCATAGTTTCTATGTAAAATTTAATGGTCTTTATCCCACGATAGTCTTTAAAAACTACTTGATTTTTTTTTCTAAAGAACTCTGTCTTTTGGTAACTCATTGCCCCCTCCCCTTTACATTTTTTTGGTGGTGCTGGGGATCAGACATAGGGCTTTGCACTTAGCTACATCTCCTGACTCTGACTCTCTTAAATTTTTTATTTTGAGACAGGGTTTTGCTAAGTTGTTCCGGGCTGTGATTCTCTTGCCTCACCCTGACAGTGTTGAGATTACAGGTTCATTACATCATTATTTTATTCTTAAGTTGAAGACAGTCCCCATGACTATGTCTTAAATTAATTAGCAAATACTACTTTTGAGCTCAGTTTTGAAGTCAAAGCTGATTTCAAATGCACATACAGAAAATTGCATTGACAAAGTATTAAACAGTTTTTAGGACTTTAAATGACTTGAAAACCTTTTATACTTTTATGAATGGAAGAAAGTGAAAAAAGAGGCAAAGACCAGTAAAAGAGGGAAAATTTTTCAAAAATGGGCGCACGGATGGCTTCACTTTTCTATCGTAAATGAAATAATCTAAGAGAATGTGTAAATTTCTTTACCTAAGTTAAATATACATAGATCCACCTTAAAATGAAATGGTCAAACCCCAGATATTTATATTGGTGTTGACACATGTGTCAGGTTCTCTGTTAAGTACAGGTTGAGAATCCCTAATGTGAAAGTCAGGTATGTTCTGAAACTTAAATCTTTTTGAGTATTGACATGGTACACAAAAATTTTTGGAGCCTTTTAGATTTCAGATTTTTGGATCTTGGATGTTCAGTCAGTAAAGCCTATGCAAATACTCCGAAATGGGAAGAATTTTGAAGTCTGAAATACTTCTGGTGTCATGAGTTTTGGATAAGAGTTCTTACCCAGTATTAGATGAGCGAAGTGACATGGAGAGTGCCTGTCGTCACAGTGATTGTGGAGGTGAATCTCTTCCCCGTGTGCATTTGTAATGTCACGTCTGTGAGCTCAGCCAGACACAGGTGATCGTAGAAGAGATGACAGGACTGAGTCAGGGCACTCACACAGCCGGACTGTGTTTTCATTAGGCCTGGAATCCTGCTGCTGAAGATCAGTGCTTTGACAGATGCCATCGACTTGGCCAGAAGCAAGAAGTTATTATCACAAAAGTAAGTTTTGGAACCACTTATTTCTAAGATTAGTCTGTTTTTAAAAAAATAATGCAAGTAATGAGTAACTACATTATTGTAATGATTTAAGTAGAATTATGGAAAGCAAAATGTAAAACTTTTTTCTCCATTTATAGATTTAATATGTTCTTCTAGGGCTTTTTCTCTCTAGTTATGTACATTCTTACTCATGTATACATCTTATTTAAAAATTCATTTTAAAAATAAAAGGAATCATACTTTATTGCTCTACAACATACTTTTTTTCCTTAAGTATGTACATTAGAGATTACTGTAAGATACATACCTGTTTGTTTTGAGACAGCGTCTCACTATGTAGTTGAGACTGCCCTGGAACTCACTATGTAGCCCAGGCTGGTCTCGAACTCACAGTGATCCTCCTGCCTCAGCCTCCCAAGTGCTGGGATCACAGGAGCGCACCACCACACTCGGCTATATAAGATACATTTAGATCCGCACTTTCATTGTGGTAAAAGGTACACAATGAATTTTTAGCATGTTAGCCATTATTTTAAGTTCAGTTGCATTAAGTACAACTCACATTGTGTGTAACCACTACCACCATTCATCTCCAGAACTTGCTGTCCACATCACCCTAAAACTCTACCCATTCAATCACGACTACTCTCTCTAAGCCCTTGGAAGACACTGTCCTGCTTTGTCTCTGTGAATTTGACTCCTTTCCAAGTTCATTTAATACCCGCATATAGATACATCATAAATTATTTAACCCATCCCATTTTTTGTTAATAAAGCAATGCCTTAGTAAGCATTATTGTACATGCATCTTTGTGCATGTACACATTTCTTCATGATAGGTTGAGAAAACTAGAATTCTGGATTTAGATTTTTTTTTATTAGATAACTATCAAGTTCCTTTCAAAATTGGCTTTGTAATGTGACACTGATATAAATGAATGCTTCTGTGATCTAAAAAATGCCTTCCTAATTTGCATTTACTTAAACTTATTTTACATGCCTGTTATTCATTAAATTTTTTTTTTTTTTTTTTTGTACTGAGGATCAAACTCAGGATCTTGTGCTTGTGAGGCAGGTGTGGTGCCACTGAGCTGAATCCCCAGCCTTCATTAAAATTTTTTGGTGAATTTATCAGTTGCCAGTTTTCACAGTTAACAGTACAAGTACAGTTTTAAGTGAATTCTTTTTTTTTTGTACTGGGGATCGAACTCAGGTCCTTGCACTTGTGAGGCAGGCGGCAGAACCACTGAGCTGAATCCCCAGCACAAGTACAGTTTTATAGCATGAAGGACTCATTTATACATTCTGATTTTAAATCCTTTCTTAGGAATTTGGAAATGATTTATTCCAGGAGCTTGCTTGGCTTTAAAAACTTTGAGCTTTTTATCATGAAAAAGCTTTAAAATTTTTATGATTGAAGATGTGCCCTTCCCCTCTTTTTTAATAACTCCTAGATTTTAAGGACTAATTAATCATGGAAGGCTTTATCTTCATATCTGAAATTGTTTCTCCTACATTGACTTATGATTCTTTTAGATTTTGTTTCGTGAAATGTGTCTAAATTTATTATTTTTCCAAATGAACTGTTTTGTCATTTCATTTAAAGTGTGCCTTTTTTCTACCAATATGACAAAATATATATATTAATCTCTTTCTAGATTGTTCTGTTTTTTTGATTTCTTCCTGTCCCCAGGACAGTTTTGTAACAGCTATGGCTATTCTCATTACTATGATTATTCTCATTACTCATTTTAAAAATTGTATGATTATTTACTGCTCTTGGACTTTTGGTCTAGGCCAGGGGTGGTGAACTTACAGCACTATTTGTTATTGAAACTCTAAAAGGTTCACCTTCACAGGTGGGCTGTCGGATCCCATTTAAGAGATATTATTCAGTCCCAGCACTCTGAGAGGCTGAGGCAAGAGGAATAGAAGTTCAGGCCCAGCCTGAGCAACTTAGCAAGACCCTACCTCAAAATTTTAAAAAATTAAAATTAAAAAGTTTTTTTAAAAGGGGTGAGGCTGTACCTCAGTGTGAAGGCCTTGGATTCAATCCTAATCCCCGCTGCCCCCCAAAAAAAGAAAAAGGAAAAAAAATGTCAATTGGGATTTATTGATTTCTTTGAGAATTCTTTTCTTTAGCAATAAGGAATGTTTTCTCAAGACCACAGGTAGTATCTACCACCATTTATTTCTATCTTTTATGTATTTTACTTTTTTGATTTCTTTTTTGAGATAGGGTCTCTCTTTGAAGTCACTATTGTAACCCAGGCTGACCTCCAACTCTCACAGGTCGTTACTGCTTCGACCTCTAAAGTGCTGGGATTGTAGGCAGGTGCCACCACACCCAGTGTACATATTTTAATAGAGTTTTATAATACAATTTATTTTTGTTATCACAATAACTGGGATTCTTGTACAGTATTAAATAGTAGTAGTAACAGTTATAGTCTTATTCCTATTTTTGTTGTTTCACATTAAACATGTTTTAGTTCGTAGTAGATATCCTTAATAAGGTTGAGGATGTATCCTTTATTCCCATGTTGAGGGTTTTTAAATCAAGCTTTATGAGAATTTATGTTGAATTTGTTGAATTTATTAAGTGCATTTTAAGAATCTGTTGAGACTGTCACTTTTTTTTGGTTTCTCTTTAATACTACGAATCATACTGGATAAAGACTCACTGTTGCAGTATTTCCTGAAAGTTTTCATTTGCCATATAACGCTAAATTCATTTTGTTAATATTCTACTTACAGGAGCACCCGTATAGTTTGTTTTGTGTGCTCTAATCTGGTGATAGGGTTACAAATGTAACTTCTGTCCTTCCAACCAATATGTAAGGAAAAACCATCTTGGGAGTAAAGGAAAGCAGTGCTTAGCTCTAGTGTTACAGCCTCATGTTCTTAATATTCTCATTGCACTGGGAAAAAAGAGGAGCTACCAGCTTCTTATAAGTTGTTACTGCACATTTTTGAAAGCTGAAATATGCTTCTCAGATTACAAATACCCATAATTTTTTATGTGAGCAGTATTAGCATATTTTATCCTTCATGATTCTCAATAGTTCATTGTTTAGTAGGCTTTAAGATTTTAAATATTAGCTGGGCGTGGTCCCAGCGCTGGGGAGGCTGAGGCAGGAGGATCGCTGTGAATTCGAGACCAGCCTGGGCTACATAGTGAATTCCAAGTCAGTCTCGACTACATAGTGAGACCCTGTCTCAAAAAACAAAAACAAAAACAAAAAAAAAAAACGACAAACAAAAAAAGATTTTAAATATTGTTATCTAAAAAATCTGAAATATAACCAATTTTCTTTTTTCTTTTTAAAGTTCATTGTGAAGGATTCTGTTGAAGAAAATATGCTGAAAATACAAAATACAAAAAGAGAAATTGCAGCTGGAGCTTTTGGAACTAAAAAGACAAATGCTAATGAAATGAAACAAGCTAAAATTAATGAAATTAAAACTTTAATTGATTTATAATATGTGGGATTTTAGTAAGGTCAGTTCTGTCAGATACGTGTTGGAAATGAGAAACAGATTTAGGAATCTAGAACAGATCTTGAATCTTCTATGAGGAGCTTACTGTTTTATATTAGTAAACAGGTATTACTGACACATGATGTCTTTTATATATGGATGTATTTTAAATGATATTTCAAGTAGCAATAAGCTCTGTTATATATTGTGGACTAAAATACTTTTTGAGATAAAAAGTTGACTTTCTTATTCAACTTTTCATAGAGAACTCTGTGCTGTTTTTTTCATGTATCTTTTAAGTAATCAGCCTTTTCATATATCAAATAAGGTCAGATCTTTTATTCTGTGACCAGTGGAGACTTTCCTATGTAGAATACATTTGGCTTTTCAACAAAGCCTATGATTTGTGATGCAGTGGATTCATAATCCTTATAAAGGATGGATATATACAGACACACACATATATGATTTTATTGGACTTTTTAAAACTTACTTGCATTCTTAAACCAAACCTTATATAATAGACCAAGTCCAGGTTAATAAATGAGTTGGAATTTTTCTTCTAAACAACTTCATTGAGATATATATATATAACTTTTTTTTCCTCCAGTACTAGGGATTGAACCCAGGGCCTTGGCCCTGAGCCCTGCTGCTATATTATGAGAGTCTTACAAAAATCACTAAGTTGCCCAGGGTGGACTTGAATTTGTGATCCATTTTAGCCTCCTAGCATACTAGGATTACAAGCATGTGCCACCACATCCAGCTCCTGTGTGGATCTTGCAAGTTTAGGTTTTGAAAAAATTAGGGACCATGTTAGAGCACTATTTTCTCCATTTTAATCAAGTGGTACTGCATTCATTGTTTAAATGCAGCTTGATACAAACAGGGTGTAAATGTAGTCTGCAGGGGTAAGAGGGAACCAATTCTACCTAATTTAATTTGAACATTTAAATTATGGAATTTAGAAATTTCTATAGATTTTTATTTATGTAGTGTTTTTGAAATAACTATAAATTTTTATAATTCAGAAGACTTCTGTATGTGAGAGGCGTGATAATCTGGAGTTGGGCTGGATGACCTTCAAAGTTGTTGCAACTCTTAAAGACATCTTATTCCCAAATGTAAAATTTGTTATGTATGTTTGAAATCAGAATTTAATTTTGTCACTTTAGTAATTCATTCTTACACTTTTGTTATTGTCATAAGCAAACCTGTAGTTGCCACAAATTCTGGATGATTCAGTCATATATAAAAGAAGCTAGACATTTAGCAGTTGCTTTGGGTAGGTCATGGTTTTATCTCATTTCCTTAAATTTTTCTAATCCAAAGAAGAGATTACTGCAATGAGATGCTTCGTACTTGATAGAGTCAGAACACCTAAAATTTTGCTTATAATGTTAGAAGTGACTTGACCGAAAGATTAATAGAGACAACATTGTGTTATAGGTCTTATATCTAAGGTGTATGTCAAATGTCAACAGCTAAGTCCTCTCTCTCTCCTTCCTGGGTCTTGTCTTTTGCTCCAAGGAGACACATTAGCCTTCCAAAATCTTCTCAGTCTCTTTTTTTTCTCAGAGGTAATGAAAGTAGAGGACTCATTTTCATTGACATCAAGAAAGACCCTTCTGCAGGTAAGAATAAAATAACTTGGGCTTGGTCAGCTAGCATTAGGAGCCCTAGGGAAATTCTTTACCTTGTAGATCTAGTATTACACAAAAATCAGGTTGATCAGAATCTCATTAAATGTGTAATATGGCTTCTCTGTATACCAATACTGCCATGAGATTAAGTATAAATAGAATGTTTTGAAAAAATAAAAAGTCTGTTCTTCATTACAGAAGCAGAGCCTTTCAAATCCAGCTATAAAGATGAAGCTTCTTGCTTCTTTACCCAAATACATAGGAGTTATGCTTTCAAACACCTAAGTTTGGCAAGTCATTTAAAAGTGTTTTTGTACAATCCTATTAAGTGATGTTAAGTAAAAAATTGAATTCATCCTAAGAAAATGTGCAAACCACTGCAATGAAAACTGCTATGCTGTTGATTCACTATTATTACATAAATAATAGCTCTAGAAATATGTTAAAAGCATTGTATTCCATTGTGGTTCAAACTAAATTTTGTGGTTTAAACTGGATTTTGTCGTAAATTTAAAATAAATGTTTCACAAATTGATTACCTTCTTCAGTGCCATAATTTGACTCTTTGCTCTTTAAATGGAATTTTATTAAATTTCATTTCTATGACATTTATATTACACAGTATTTTACCTGACTGCACATAAAAAGTACTGTAATATGTTCACATTACCTTTTATTTTGTTCAATTTAATTGGTTGAAACTTTTTTTTTTACTGGGGACCAAACTCAGGACTTTCCACTTGCAAGGCAGGCATGGTGCCACTGAACTAAATCCCTGGCCCTGGTTGAAACTTGTTCAGAAATGAGTGAATATTTAAGGTTCATTTTAAATGCCTTTATCTGTATGTAAAGTTGATCCCAATTAATTTCCTCAGATGTAAGAAAAAAAAATTGTGATAATACATATAAATAGTACTCTCAATCACTATAGATTTGCCCTGAAAATTATAACTCTAATTTGGAAATGAAAATATCCTGTGTAGTTTAATTGTGAATACTAATTATCCTAGGCAGTGAACACTTATGTAGAGATATGTCCAAGACATTGGTGTATTTTCCTTAACTGCTTGCCAAAGTTCATTAGCCTCTGAATGAGATTCATAAACAGGACAGATTTGAGGTTTGGCTCATAATAATAAGTTATAATTACAATATCTACAAAAGTTTCAATGAAGAAATAGCAGGTGGAAGGGCAATTAAGACCAATATCCACTTTATGCACGATGTAGACCTTGATCAACCGTGGAGCTGATCCCCAAAGAAATGGATTTGGCCTTTGAGCAAAGTTTGTCATATGGCCAAAGTCTGTTGTACCCACCACTGTTCACAAAGGGATTTAAAAAATGGCACATGGACAGCCACCACCAATGTGTGTTTTATAATTTGAGCCTCCTTTTCATACATCTAAATAACCCCTTATCATTTTGGGCTTCCTGGAAGAGATTTTGCAGTGTAGCTGTACAGCTCTGTGGAAAAGTTAATACTTTGTGTTAATGAAGACATGTCCTTGAAAGTTAAGGGAAAGAAAATGTTAGCCTAGTTCATCGATTTCCCAGCCACATAATTTGACACACCTTTATGTGTATTACAGACTTTTTTCCTGGGGAACTTGTCATTGATTCTTTTTATCCAGTACTGAGAATCAAACTCAGGACCCTGCACTTGCCAGGCAGGTGTGGTGCCATTGTGCTACATCCCTGGCCCCATTATTTGATTCTAAAAGTTAATGGCTTTGAGTAAACTGAGAACTTCAGTTTTTGTAAAAATAAGGTAATATAGTCTTTGTCTCCCCCATTTGTAAAAAAAGTAAAAACTTGGAGTCATTTCTAACATGCTTTATTTGGATTATATATTACATGGCCACAAGAGTAAGGTTTCAGGCATTCTTTATCTGAAGACTAAGTTTCTTTGCATCTCAACCAGGGACCCAGACACCAAGAGTCAGGAGCTGCTGTCTAGCTATAAAAATATCTAGAGGTCGTTGTAGCCACAGCACCAGCACATGGAAACACTCAATCTTTGGTAAATGTTTCATAAACTTAGATGTTGGTGACTATTCCCTACTAGTGCGGATAACTTTTATCTCCAGAAGTCATTTATGGTTTTAGAACTTTAGGTAAATCTGCAGGTTTTCTTGGGCTTTCGGATCCCCCTTCCCAGGTGGCCCTCAGTCACTCCTGTCTGCAGAGATCTGATTCAGCCATACTGAACAGAAATGACCCAGGGAGCCAGTAGGACATTGTCAAAATGAGGGAGCACGACACAAGGCTAGGTCACAAAAGCCATTGCCGCACCTGCTAACACTAAAGGTTTTTGTTATATTCGACTTTTATTCAGTACAATGATTTCTGATTACTCAGTTTCAAAAGATCTTTTTGGATCCATCCTTCCTTACCTTGCCGACCCTTGCAGACTAGGATTTATGCTACTTTCTCTTATTCTGGGTAAAAACAGGAGGAGGAATTGGGTCTAGTGCCAATTCCCGCAGTTCTGAAAGATTACTGAGTATGTTGAGAGACGATGAACAGTGAGCCTGATGCTTTTAACGTCACCACATGCGGACAACTTGTGTGCCCACCGGGGAGGTGATGCAAGCGACACTAGACAGATTTGATCTCACTCTTCTCCACCAGTCATCCGTCACCATCGCTGGAAATACTAGATTTCTTAGGCAGCTAATTTTACAGCCTACCTGTTAAGCTTTATACTTTAAAAATCTAAAACAAGTTGCATAAATTATGGAAAATTCCCCAATAGATTTTTTTCAAGGGTAAGATGGGAAGTACTTTAACAACCAAGGTATGGCAATAAGTCTTTATTTTTCATACAGGGTATTAACTGCAGGTAACCATCAGAGAGAGCGCACTGCTATTTTCACATGTACAGAACCGAACAAAAGCATTTCAGCATGCTGCCTTACAGTGTACAGAAAACTGGTAAACATATTCAGATGTAGGAGATAAAATGGGCTAACGCCATGTGTTGAATCAGTGTTATGAATCACTCAGCAGTGTTATTTAAGGTTGACTTTAGAAGCACAGTTATCATTCTGGTAGCCCCTGGGAGATCGTAAAATGCAAGTTATCTGACAGGTATTACAAGCAAGGGGCAGAAGCCATGTCCTGTTCTGAAGGGAGATGGATTTGGAACGTGGTTCTACACAAGTTGATGCAACCATCTTTATAGCTTAATATTGGGTTTCCTTTACTACATATGTTGGCAATCAGCATAAGTGAATTTCTGAAACAGCTAAGTCTAGGGTTATAAAACAATGCTGTCCATATAATAGAAGTACAGCTTTACAACTTTTGCCCAGTTCTCACCTGTTGTTCTGCAAAAACCCTTCATCTGTTTTAGTGAAAGCCTGTAACACCTGCAACAGACTTTTCTCAACCCAGCTCTAGATACTAAGTATCAGAAACAAGTTTCTGTGAAAGGGTGTGTTCACAGGAAAAAGGCAGTGCTTCTACTGGAGGTAAGTGTCAAGTTTTTGCTTGATGTTGTCAAAGGAGTCTGCTCCCATGTAATCAGCCTGACCCTGTTCCCACCTCTCCTTCCTGTCCTCTGATGACGATACAGAAGGCTGAGGTGCAGCTGGGTTCTCCCCAAGGGACAGGTGTGATACGGCTCCTGAAACATGTTCCTAGAAAAAAGCAGCATAATCAGACTCCTTGAGAGCTGAAAATCAGATCATATTAAAGAATACAATAAATTGAAGGTAAGAAAAGTCAGGATGAATTATCATGCAAAGTAGCAAAAACTGAAAAGCATTACATGAAACAAACAAAAAGACACAAAAATACAAGGGTCATGTGATTTTTTTTTCCTAACGAAATGAAGACTTATTGACTCAGTGAAAACATCAGGAGAACAAATTAATTGGGGTTAATGTTTAAGTTCTGCATACCTTTCTACAGAAGCCACAAGAGAAAGCCAGTGTATAGACCAAGTCTGAAAGCTGCAAACAGTTCATTAGAAAGTGTAAGATGGATTGAAAAAAGAACACAAGTCTCATGATAAATTCTCAATCTGTGTGGGCTCAGAAAGGTTGAGAACTTAAACAAAAATACACTTAAGATGCTACACTTTAGAAAAAACCTACCCAGAGAGCCACAACACATACACAAGTTGTCACATTATAAGAAGAAAAGCTAAATGGTTTTGAGGCTATGTACCGAATTTTCTGTCCAAGGTTTCATTTGGATTACCAAGTAGCATCTATTCTTGTAGCTTCTGTTAATTTGCTTAGTTTTGAACAACTGTTTCAATTCCCATCTTCAACCTTGTCTTAGTTCATAATTCTCAGCCCTTGTGTTGCAGAAAGAACAGGGTAAATGCAGCAAACAGCAAACCTACACTAAATTAAAACTGACTCTCATTATACATGGATAGGCAATCGACTTCAAGTATACCAATGAAGGAATACCAATGGTAAAGTGAGAAAGCTGGAAATCTTAGGAAAAAAGGTGGATAAATAAAAATGGAAACCACTTTGAACAGAAAACAGTGGAACAAATTTCTAGATACTTTCTTTTTGCTTTATATATGTAAGTAGGTGTACAGGACTGTGATACGGCTCAAGCAACATAAGCACTTCCACTGGATCAGTCCCGCCACTGCCTTCCCTTTGGAATGGGAATGGTAAGCACAGGCTCTTCCTGAGTCCTCTGCTTCATAATGTGGGGAATTTATAGTGAACTGGCCTAAGAGAAAGGCCCTTGAAATCTAGTCAAGGCTGTTTGAAGTTGAACACATTCCCGCTGGCTTGAACAACCAGTGATAACACGACGGGCAGCCATGCATGTACCGCTGGTGGCTCAGAGCCGCCCAGCAGTGAGATATACAAGTTACAGCCCTGTCGGGAGCATGTTAACTCTCCCTTCCTCTGCTATGAAAGGTGTTATACTTAGTTCTGGTCTTAAGCCAGGTCCATCTCAAATTTTTGGTCAAGATAATAAATAGTCTTTCTGATGTGGATTTGACTCTCAATTCTGCTCTTATAATCTTACACAACTAAGACAAAGTTATATTCTTTAACCCTCTATTTATCTATAAATGGGACATTAACAATAATAGTACTTACTTGGTAGAGTAGTTGTAGGGATTAAATAAGTATAGCTAATTTTTATTAAGCATTTACTATATGCCAGGCACTTCCAACTCCTGTACAGGTGTTACTTCATGGACCATACTTACAATAAGAAATACTTAAAAAGCATCAGTTATCTTCCCCCTTTGGTACCAGAGATTGAACTTGGAACCTTCTGCTTGCAAGGCAAACAGCAGAACCACTGAGATAAATCCCTGGCCCCTCCCTTTCTTCTTTCTGTATTTTGTATAAATGCTAGCAAGTGACAGGACTAAAATCTATACCTTAGAAGAGAGAACTCCTTATAATGCTATAATAATAGGCAGGTAATTAACCAATTTCTTATTCATAATTTGCCCATTTAGTTGAAGTTTTTGTATCTTAACATTTAACAGTGTAATTCCTCATTCTTTTCTAATTTGTTCAAAAGAAAAAATCTCTCAGAAGACCTTAAAGCCAGAAAACATGCTTTAAAAGTTTATTTTAAATGTTAACATGTCATCTGTTAAAAAGATTTTTTTTCACAAACCAGTAATAATCAGGGATATAAACAGGAAATAATAGTTACTTTTGGTGATTTTCAGTGAAAACACATTTTTCTAAGCGGATGGCATACATAAAATAGGTATATTTAAATGTCTGAAGTTTCTAAAAAAAATGGGCCCTTTTTTCCTCCCTCCAGGGAAAAGTTCCCTACCACTGAGCTACATCTCTGGTCTATTTATACAGACTTACTACATTAGGTATAATCTCAATCTTTCTTTTGGACAATGAGGTAAGAATTTTGTAGTTACAAGTGCAGATATATTAAAAAACTCCAAAAGCATTTCTTACACTATCAGATACAATGAAATTTGCCACCTAGTATACTTTTACTCCTTCTGTAGAGGTAATATTTCTCCATTCTAAGACAGCCATTGTTTTTTCACAAAAGTCTTGTATATTCACAAAGACTTCACAAAAGTCTTTGTTTAAAATATTACTAAAGTACTCCCAAATTCTATTGACGTACCAAGTTTTAAAAGGTACAGCACTAACTTACATGAAAGAAAAAATTTAAGAACAGAACCTACCACATCTTTGTATGAGCAGGTGTCTTTGACAAGTCCATAACGTTGAAGAAGAGGTAAAACATTGGTAGTAAAGATATCCCACCACAGGTTGAGAAACTCTGGATGAGTCATGGTGGGATCATCTGACTCACTTTTAACACTTTTTGTTTGGGGATCATAAGTATAATTCCATGGTTTGACTCGTCCCAGGAAATGCACAACTTTTGTATTTGCTCCAAACCTGCCATGTAAACACAAGTTGAAATGGTCAGTGGATTCTGAGCATAGACAGATAATTGGGTCTCTGTTCTGTAATCTTATTAGTACAACTTCCATCTTGTAGTAGCAATTGGAAAAGAAACTGGCCTCACTGTCAAACCAAGAAAAGATTCTTTCGAAATTAGTCCTCTATGTGTTAAATACACATAAAAATGCAAAAGTAGTTCAGTGCAACAACAGAAGCCCAAGTTCATCCTGGATAAGAAAGGTACAATCACTGAGAAAACACTGGGTATATCCTACTCAAGTATGAAAATGCTCATGTTCCGCCACCCAGAAGCTCAGTTCCTTGTAAAACAGGATACATAATCACAATGTTTGCAGCAGGAACACTGTCTGCAACAGTCATAAACACATGTTCACATGTTAGATTAGGTCACTGCTCAGCGAGTGTGCACTGCTCCTAGGCTCCACAGCGGAAGTACTTTTCTCCCAGAAGCTGGACGTGGCACTAAGGCTTGGTCTGGCCAGTGGAATGTGGGCAGTAGTGAAAATGCCTTACAGAATGGTTGGTTCTGTTCACTCTGAGAAGTTACAATGTCTGCCAGGAGAATATGTTCTGTGTGACCCACTGTCTCCACAGAATAGGAAATATGAAATAGGTCAGATCAGACCTGTGGCATTACTCCAAACAGCTGAGAGGATCAGAGCTATCCCAGCTGACCCATCATTAGAAATAAAAAAGGAAAATAAAAAAAATAAGTAAAATAAACACATCAAATATCACTTTGAAGTTTTATAGTTATTTCATCTTTTTTCTAAAAGGAAAATTTCTGGTTTATTAATAAAGAATATAATACAGCAGTGAAAATGATGATCATGACATAGAGCAAACAGATACATTTCAGAAGCCTTTATATTGAAAAATGAAACGAGAAACAATTATATCCTTCATTTGATCTACTTATATAAAGACAAAAAGGCACTGTTTAAAGATTGGAAAAACTATAATATGTATTTCATGATACTGTTTACCTGTGGCAGAAGAGAAGTTGTGACTGGAAGGAACAAAAGGAGAGGCTTCCAAGATATTGTGTTCCATTTCTCTTTTAAATGAAATTTTAAACTTATACATAAAAACATTATTATACATATTAATTGCATAATGTGATGTTTTAACATGTACGTTCTGTGACATTCAAATCAAGTTAAACATACCTACTCAAACTATTTTAGAGTAAAACACTCAAAAATATTTTCTAGCTTTTTTATTGTTGCCTATGGTCATCCTACTATGCTGTTTCATTTAATTTAGGTGGTGGGTATCTTAAAATGCTGAACAAAAGAAATCAGCAAAGCAACGCCATTCACAGTAGCTTCAAAAAAATTAACACACCTAGGACTTAACCTAACCAAGGAAGTGAAAAAATCTCTGTAACAAAAACTATAATACTCTGAAAAAAAGACTGAAGAGGACATTAGAAAATGGGAATACATCCCATTTCTGGATAAGCTGAATACTGTCAAAAGTTTTATTACTGAAAATGATTTAATGCAATTCCAATCAAAATACCAACAGCATTCTTAATAGAACTAGAAAACACAATAGATTCATTCATAGGAAAATGGATACATATTGAAGATATACTCCTAAGTTAATTAAATAAGTCACACATGTTTAAATACCAAATAGTTTCTCTGGTGTGAACAAACAGCAATAATACATAAGATCCTAATACGATTACTGACATTATGAAATGGGAAGAAAGGAGCTAAAGGTGTAGGGAAGGTGGGATGGGTAGGGGAAAGGTAATAAGGGAAAAGAAAAAATGTGAGATAATGAAAAGATGGAAATAAAGTGTTTGTAGATGGGGAGGGGAGGAGGGGGTGAAGGGAGGGCAGGGGTAAGGGGAAAAAGTGAGAATCAAGACTTGTCATGTAGAGGTACAAGATCCCAACGATGAATGTAACTGTATTGTATCCCTAAAATGTACCAATAAACTCAATTAAAGCTGGAAAAAAAAAAAGAACTAGAAAACACAATCCTAAGATTGGTATGGAACAGAAAAAGATCCTGAGTAGACAAAGCAATCATGAGCAAAAAAAAAGAAGGCATTAAAACCCCAGATTTCAAATTATAACAAAGCTACAAGTAATAAAAACACCATGGTACTGGCACAAAAAAAGACATTTGACCAAAGGCTTAGAACTGAGGATGCAGACACAACCCCATCCACCTCCAGCTATCTGATTTTCAACAAAAGTGCTAAAACATATGCTGGAGAAAAGATACCCTCTTAAAAACAACGGCACTGGGAAAACTGGTTATCCATGTGCAGAAGAATGAATCTAGACCCAAATTTCTTATTCTAACAGCAAATCAAAATGGATCGAATACCTAGATATAAAAAAAATAGAAACACTAAGTTTGTTGGAAGAAAAAAATAAAACTCTTGAAGGCACAGGCTAAGGCTGTTAGAACAGAACCCCACACGCACAAGAAATAATACCAACTATCAACAAATGGTGTTATCAAATTTAAAAGTTTCTGTGCAGTAAAAAACAAAACAGCCAATAGGGTGGAGACAACCTACAGAATGGGAAAAATATTTGCCAGCTACTCCTCAGAAGACTAGTCCTAGTGCAGAATATAAATTTTTTAAAAAAATTATACACTAAATAATAAAGACCCAATCAGAAAATGGGTCATGGAAATGAATACACACTAGTAGTAGAAATGGCCATTGATGCACATAAAAAAAATTTAGCATTTTAGTCATTGGGGAAATGCAAGTCAAAAACAACACATATTCGATTGCACCCCAGTAAAAATGGGTATCCTGAGAAACGATAACGCTGGTGAGGCTGTGGGGATGGCAGAGTCCTTGTACATTGCTGGTAGGAATGTAAACTAATACGGCCAGTATGGAAATCAGGATAAAGATTTCTCAGAAAATTAAAATTAGAAATTTCATTTGACCCAGTGTATTCTTTAGGTAGAGTTAGAAAGATATTACAGTAATATACGCACATACGTTTATAGCAGCACAATTCACAACAGCCATTATGGAGTGGCCTATGTCCATTAGCAGATGAATGGATACCGAAAATGTGGCACACATACACAGTGGAGCACTCTGCCACAGGATGAATGAGAGTCATTTGTAAGGAAATTGATGTCGAGCTATAATACTAAGTAAAATAAATCAGACACAAAAGGATACACATTGCATGCTTTCTCTTCTGAAAGAAAACCAAATACAGTAAAAATAATTTAAGAAGCAAAATAAAACTTGGTAGGAAAGAGGTAGGCTTTGTGGTGATGGGAAGGGGGTTTAGACAGGAGGAAGAGGAAGTAGAAATGATCAAGGTGCAGTGTGTATCTGTACTGATTCCCCAAGATGAATATGATTTTTTTTTACTTTAGGATATCTCCTTTTATTGTGTCTTATCTGTAGCATTCTAGACTCAGATAACTGACAGTAAGTTTTCGTATTACGTACTGGTGTAACTTCCCTATACTGAGATGTTCAAACATTTCTGAAAAAAGAGTTATAACTGAGAACTTTGCACATTCACAGGGATTTAATCCACAGGCATTCTTACATGTAGGCTGACTGAAGATTTGTGTGGATCACTTATGTTCCCAGTTTCTCACTACATTTCATTCTTTTGTAATTACAAATAAAAGCAAATGACTACAGGTCTAAAGTACATTAATATGAATTTCTCCACTGTGCGATGTCAAGTTTCCAGAAAGGGACATGTAAAAGTGAAGAATTCCCACATTTTATCTTTATACTTACTTTCAGTTTGTTCACGTTTTCTCAAGTCACAGGAATCACTAAAAGCTTTCTCACATTAACTACACGGGCTCTGACAAGTGTGAAGCCCTTCATTAAGGTAAATGAAAGACTTAAGGGTTTCTACACTGACTACACACACATGGCTTCTCTCCCATGTGAATATTTTCATATACTACCTTTCAAACTCTGCTCATATCTGTTCAGATTCTCTCAATTATGACATTTCTCATGCAGGTAATGTCACCTGTGTACTTTTTTTTTTTTGAGACCTAGTCTATGTAGTCCAGGCTGGCCTCAAACTCATGGCAGTTTTCCTCCTCCTCCTCCTGAGTGCTGGGATTGCAAGCATGCGCCACTATGCCTGGCTTAAGAATATCATTATTATGTATCATAACCATATACCAAAAAAAAAAAAAAAAAAAACTCACATACTGAAAAAAATGCATATACACTATTCTGTGGGGCAGGGGGAACTATTGAAAGACAACAGGAAAATCTAAATAAAAAGTTACACAATGAAAACCAAAACAAAAATGAAGTGCTACACATTTTTGGGCATACATGTTTGTATACACGCTGTATTTCATAACTAATGTCTTAAAAAGAATAAGATTTAAGCCTGGTTCTGTACTAGTTGGGAGGAAATCTAAGCATATAAAAATCAACAATAAAGATGACTGCAAGAATTGCCAAAGGGAAAATCTGAACAGGGAGGCTCAGGAATTTAGGAAGGAGGGAGGGCCCAACAAGCCAGCTGCAGGGGGCGAGGTGCTGTGGTGATAGGGTGTGACTTCTAGCTTGTACCTATGCAGGCAGATGGGATCTGGAAAGCTGGTGATAGTCTAAGATGTCCAGGCAGAGAGCAGCTGTGTGCACTGCCAAGTACCTCCAGTCAGACCTAGAGAAGCCCCTCTGAAGAGGGAAGGAAAGGTAAACATGATCCTTGTGATCTGTCTAGGCTAAGCTCACAAGTTAGATTTCAGTGGATTTACATAAGAACCCAATGCACTTGAGTATGATGTGCAAATCAAAATAATGCAGACTCTGTTCACATAACATTTCCTAACTTCTAAAGTTCATTTTTTAAAAAAATGTTAGAGGTCTGTTAAATAGCTATCATCTGAGAGTTCACTATGTTTGGGGCTCAAATGCTTTACGGACGTGGTTGGGAATCCCTACAAAATAGACTTTATTAATATGCTAGCTGAAGCACAGA